GGGGCGCTGGAAGCGCTGGACCTTCCTCCCGAGACAGTCGTAGTCCTACTCGTTCTCCGAGCCGTGGGGGAACGTACCTGGGGTGTCTTACTTGTGAGTGCTGTCAGAACAGGAGCCAGGCGTTGTCCGAGGAGCGGTCAGAGATGCTTGTTTTTCCTAAATGGGAAGAGCTGTCCAGTGTAAATCCAGACTAACAAATGCTGCGCTTTTCGTGCTGCTGAACGATTTGTTTACCTTGAACTCTCAACTGCAGGAAATGCGCGGTTATTTGCAAGAAGAGACAGTGAATGTAAAGTAGCGCTGTGCCAGTGTCGTGTGCTGGTTAAATGCCCACTTCTAGGCAGCATTCTGTGCATAGATTCCTTAGCTGGCGAAAAAAAGAGGAATAAAAGTTAAATGACGATCTGTATATGGCTCTAAAGAAAGGAGGGTGTGTGGGGGGAGTTCTTGTCAAAGGCTGTACTGTTAAAAATCGGAAGTAATTCACAAAATTTGTTTTTGAAGTGCTGCTTTGATTTTGAAGTCTTAACATTATGCCTTCAGGACTGCATTACAGCTTGAAGTTAATGCACATCAATGTTTCTTAGAGTGTTTTTCTTTAAAAAAAAAATAAAATTGTAAAAATTGTTTAAGAAAGCAGTAAAGCAGTACATCTGCCTTCTAGTTAGCATAGTTATTATCTAAAACTTTCAGTTGTTCAAGTAGCCATGATTCCTGTATTTTTCCGATATTGAACAGGTACTCTGAACCTCTGAAAATCAGTTGGTAAACTGTCATTTGATTTAAAAGCCAAAATGTTAATGGCACTCACAGCAGGCGAACGTGTGTATATACATTACTAAAACTATGTACTGTATTTCTAGTCTAACTCTTGAGATAGACTGATTTTTTTCATTTATGTGCCAAGCAAGTAATTATGAAAGTAGTGACTAAGGGAAAAAGATTTCCTTTTGTTTGTATTTAGGGTTACAACTTAAAAATTTATCAGCTGCGAAGACGAATCTTAATTTCTTGTTTACATGGAACACAAATGGAAGAAAAACATATAATTTCTTGGCTTTTAAGTTGTTTTTTGACATCGAGTGCTTTTCAGCTCATGAGTTACCCCGAAATGTACATTTTGCCAGCCGTACTTTAGTAAAACTAAAGAAATGAGCACGTCAGTAAGGTTGAAATATGGTTCAATGAAAAAAAAATCCTACTCCGTGTAGCTTTATTTATTGCTTGTGAAACTTTGCCTCAAGAAAAGACTTTTGTATATCTCTGTTTTCCCAGAGAACTTAATGCTTTCAGTAGTGCTATTCTGTATGTTAGTACTTGTTATTTTGCTTACTACTTCGGCTCAGGTCTGTGCTGAGAACACAGGGGGGCTTGATCTCTGAAGTGCTGGTCAACTAATTCACAGTTTCTTTGTGTGTGTGCACAGAACTGAACCTCGGGAGAGAAGAATGCAGAAAGTAGTGCTGAATAACTTTCTTTAGGGAGTTTGAATGTTGGTGCATTTGCTTGTACTATTTTATTCCAGCTGCAGCTTTCTACTAGGCGTGGGAATGAGTATGCAGTATTTTTTAGGTTTCTTCTACCATTATTTGTCACTTCACTCCCGTTTTTGCTCTTCTGTCTTACCAAGTCTTGGTTCTAAGGTAGTTTTAAAATTTTGTGACTTGATGTAGTCTCAATACTTCAGTGCTCCACGTCTTAAAACATTCATGCTGTCAGTGTGCTGCTTGACATTCAGCTGAAGTTTTCTTGGTCTCAGTTTTGTACTTTTAGCTTTTTTGCAGTCTTTTTTCAGCTATTTCTTGACCAAACCCTGCATTTTGATTTCTTCACATTTTCTTCAAAGAAAGACTTCCCCCATGCCAAGATGTTTCCTCCCCCTCCCCCCTTTCACTCCTCCTTTCTCTACACATCGACGTAGGTGGGAAAATGTCATGCTGGCTTGGTTGCTGGTGGGGGAGCTGGGGTTTTAGGTTTTTCTCTTCAAGGCGCTGATCTTGCGCTTTCGTGGAATCGTGTTGCTTTTGCATGAAGAGCTTGATTGTGCAACCCTGGTTTACACAGTGGTCGTCCTGAAATCAGTGGACTACTTTTGTCTGCAGTCCAATATCTGCTTACACTGAGGCATGTAGGTTGTTTCACTCTTGATAATAGTTTCAAAATGGAGAAGAACAAATTTTCTGACTATATAGTGTTAAAAAGAAGGGAAAATAAGGCATAGTGTTTACACAGTGACTTTAACAAAACCAGAAGGGGTCGACCTGTCAGGCTGCTCTGACTGACAGCATTGCTGTGTGTGACAGCCCTGTGGGAAGGCAGAGTTTAGTGCTCTTTTCTGGCCTGCTGGGAACGACCGTTACTAATACGTTATGCAGGAGAATCTATTTCTGTTAGCCCAAAAACACAAAGATGAGTCTTGTCTCTTAAAATCCTGCCTACCATATGTAATTCTTGCAGCACACTTTACATAGGCATTACTTTAATAGTCTGTGAAGAATTAACCTACATAGTTCAACTCTGAAATTTGTGTGAATTTTATCAGTGTTAGAAAAGCTCAGCTTTGTTGGGGAAAACAGGTTGTCAGGCTGGGAGAAGACATGGGATAGTGCTAGTGGCCTTATTTATAAAAACAGTATAAAAAGCAAACTTAGGATGCACGAATATTTGTAAAAGAATCTCATTAGCAGCCTGCCAATAGACTGCCTTTTGGAAGGAATGAATTGTATGGATGCTAGCGAGCTGAAAAAGTTTAGCACGCTATTATTTTTGTGTTCTCTTGACCATAGCACACAAGGGATCTCGACCTCCCGTAATACACTATGGCTGGTACTTAATCTGGGAATTACTGAATGGGTACCCAGAGGTCATGGTGCCTGAAATTCTTAAGTGCACAGAGTATGGACTGGAGACAACTCGTAAGTAAATTGAATGAGAATGATTCATCTGCGCACGTAAAAGTGTGTACACTTTATTACTTCTACTGCAGCTGGCTCAACCTTTTTTTGTATCGCAGAAAAAGACCTACACAACACATGTGATGCTGGATGCTGGTTATGTGCTTAAGAGAGTTATTATAGCTCTTATGCTGGTATCTGTATTGTTACATTTTAAAAGGCACTAGCTGTGGGCCAATTAACCAAACAAAGCCATTTTTTTGTTAAATCTGTTAACTACAGTTTTTATCTAAGTACCAGAGGAAAACTAAAATTTCTTTGTTATCCAGCTGCAACTTTTTACCCATTTCCCTTTCTTAGTGGTGTCATGTCCTTGTATGTTAGGTTCCCTCATAGGTAATGCTTATTCTAACAGAGACATCTGTCCTAAACTGAGTAACGTGTTCTTGTGTATTTCAGAACTGTAAAAATGGGGAAATATTAGCGTATTCAAGGATAATAGCTGGAATATAATGGTTTTGCTTCTATCAGTTGTCTAAATCACTCAGTATTTTTGTAGGATGGTTTACTTATCTGTAAAACATGGAATCCTGGGCCTTGATTTTGTACAGGCTAGGCCCGGTCCACATTTTGCATGCGTTTGTAATGGCATAACTTGTCTTGATTGGCACAGCCTGGATATTTGACAAACCCTTGGTGCTCCTCAGTTGAATTAACCATTTCATCTGGCAAGTAGTGCACATAGTGATTCTGGTGCTGTGTGCCGTTGTGGGCATGAACACCGCAGATCAAATATAATCACTTCCTGATGTATCATTTGTCTCTAGATGATCTCTCAACTAGAGATAGTTGAAAGAAAGATGCTGAAAACATAGAGAAAGGACGAATCAATGTCTCTTTAATTTTTGTTAGTCAGAGCCTGCCTATTTGTTTTAGGTAAACGCACCTTAAAGCAGAAAGCAAATACAGCAGCTTTGAACAAATAAATGTTCCACATAAACTTATTAAAGGAGGTAAGCCGGTGCTAGCCAAATTTTTAAATTATTTTTTTGAAGACATAGGTTAGAAAGATCTGTTCAAAATGCAGGTTTTTATAAAGTTTGCAGCAACTGAGGTAGATATCTAATGGTATTTCTGTCTTAGGAAGAAAAGTCACTTTTTCTTTCAGAGGTGTTAGGATGACATGTTAAAATGTACTTGCTGAAGATACGTTATTGTAGAAAGCACTGATATAGTGGACTTGCCTGAGCACAAAGGTGCAGTGATTTAATTAAAGGTGTGGTTTAATTAAGGGTTTGAGTTGTATAAAGCCTCATTTGTCTGGACTGTTGGCACTGTGTACACATAATAAATTTAAGTGAACTTTGCCCTTCTGCACCTGTATGCTTAGGGATAGAATACTTTAGAATCACAGAAAGGTTTGGGTCGGAAGGGATCTTCAATGATCATCTAGTTCCAACCCCCCTGCCATGAGCAGGGACACCTTCCACTAGACCAGAGTGCTCAAAGTCCTGCCCAAACTGGCCTTGAACACTGCCAGGGAGGGGGCAGCCACAGCTTCTCTGGGCAAGCTGTCCCATTTTAAGTTGTGTTTGTATCCAAACTCTGTAACAGTGTCTTTTAAACAAATCATGCTCCTTTGAAAAAAAAAAAAACCAGGCCTAATCTGAAGTGTAGCTAGTATGTTACTTGCTGAAGCTGTACTGGGAATATCAACAGTGGTATTCAGACCGTTTAGTCTGAATGTTGAACTGCTGTTGATGATGTTGATTGTGGCTCCACATAACTGACTGCCTTTATGTGTTTGATGGGACTTAGCTGGATGGCAATCAGGATCTTAACCTCAAGTATGCATTTGGTATACTGACACCTGGAAAAGTGATACAGTTGGGTATTTATGAACTGTAACATAACTTTTTTTTTTTTTTTTTTTTTGTTGCAATTGAAGTATCAGGGACAGAAAGTAGTTTGGATGATGTGTTTTGCCAGCGTATCTCTGCAATTTCTGTTTTAACAATGGACAAGTGTAAGCACATAGGACGTCTGCGACTGGCCCAAGATCACTCCATTCTCAATCCTCAGAAATGGCATTGCGTGGACTGCAATACTACCGAATCTGTGTGGGCATGCCTCAGCTGCTCGCATGTGGCGTGTGGGAGATACATTGAAGAACATGCACTAAAGCACTTTCAGGAGAGGAGTCACCCGGTGGCATTAGAAGTCAACGAGCTGTACGTTTTCTGTTATCTCTGCGATGATTATGTTCTTAATGATAACGCAACTGGTGATTTAAAACTTTTGAGAAGTACATTAAGTGCAATCAAGAGTCAAAACTATGAATGCACTACTCGAAGCGGAAGGACTTTGCGTTCTATGGGTGCAAGTGATGATTCTTACCTTTCACATGGTGGTGCCCAAGCCTTGCTTCGGAATGAAGATCGCATGTTCACGGCTCTCTGGCACCGACGGCGTGCGCTCCTGGGCAAAATATTCAGATCATGGCTTGAGTTGACGCCTACTGGGAAAAAGATTTTGGAAGAAGAAAGGCGTCAGGAAGAAGCAGAGGAAAGAAGGGACAAAGCTAGGAAAAGAAGACAGGAACGAAAGCGTGAGTTGAAAGCAGAGATGGAAAAGATGCCTCCAAGAAAGAGTAGTCGTTTACAAAATCAGATTAGAATGTCCTCAGAAACAGCACCCTGCCTACAAAAAACATCACAGAACATGGAGTCTGTGGCAGAATTGAAAAAAACTTATACCTCAGATGAAGTAAGATTGAAAAAAATAAGTGACTCTCCAATTAAACGAAGGCCCACGGTGACTCCTGGGGTAACAGGACTGAGAAACCTGGGAAATACGTGCTATATGAATTCTATCCTGCAGGTATTAAGTCACTTGCTTATTTTTCGAGAATGCTTTTTAAAGCTTGATCTCAACCAAACTCAGGAACTGCTAGCAACAGCAACCAATGGTAAAACCAGATCTTCATCTAAACACCCATCAATAGCTGCCTCTGCATTGCATGTGAATGAGAACCAAGAGAAAGTAAAGGGATCATCTTCTGTGAGGCGGCCTAGTTTATCCTCCGGATTAAGTGGAGGAGCATCAAAAAGTAGAAATATGGAACTTATTCAGCCCAGGGAGCCCAGTTCAAAGCATATTTCTCTCTGTCATGAGCTGCATACTCTATTCCAAGTTATGTGGTCTGGCAAATGGGCGCTGGTGTCTCCTTTTGCCATGCTTCATTCTGTGTGGAGACTAATTCCAGCCTTCAGAGGATACGCCCAACAAGATGCTCAGGAATTTCTCTGTGAACTTTTGGATAAAGTGCAGCAGGAACTGGAGACTACAGGGACCAGATACCCAGCTCTCATCCCTGCTTCTCAAAGAAAACTTATAAAACAAGTTTTGAATGTGGTTAACAACATTTTTCATGGACAGCTATTAAGTCAGGTATGTTTTATGTTTTTTTTTTTTTTAATTTGAGGCGTGTAATGATTTGTAGTTATGGATTTATACTGGTCAGTGATGGGCATACTTCAAAGGTGTATATATAGCTACTGTGGAGGGATGGGGAGAATATATTACACACAATTTCAGAAGAAGGGTCATTTGGATACTCCTAAAACTTTGAACAGAAGAGTCACCTGATAAACATAAAAGCGATAAATTTGTGGGTTTAGAGCACACCTTTGCAACTACTGAGAAATATCTGACTTTGCTACTAAGCTTCAACTAATTTGCAGGAACTAAGAATTTACACTTTTAAGCATGTAGTTACAGTGATACTAGATAAAAGGTGTTAATCTTGTCTAAGTGGAAACTGATTAGGTAATGGATGCCAAGCAGGAAAGTATTTCAGTAAATAGCTTGAATTTGAGATTCGTTACTGTAGAGTAATTGCCTGTCATGATGTTATGTACTGGAATACTACTTTTCTGTTGCAAAACAAAGACATAGAAGGCTATGTCAACACAGGAACCAAATTTGTGGGGTGGAGGCAACAGTTGTTTTCCTTTTTTCTGCCTGACTCCTTTCTTCTTCTCCGCTCCCTGTTAAGTACGTCTGTGTGTCCTCTTACTATTATGTGTATCCCAACTGTGTGCGTGTACAAACGTCTGAGAACTGACTGAATGAACAAATGCAGAGTTCTGTTGAATTAGTCTAAAAACCAACCGTATTGCAGCAGGAACGAAAGTTGAGAAAGTCTTGGCCCTCTGGACTTGGTCTTTAGTATGCATGCACATGTTACTGAGGGAGTGCAGAAGCGTTTAATGGATATGTTGTGTAAAGGAGTAGAGGTTTAACACAAATTAACAAAAATGTGGATGTTCTGATTATTCTGACTATTTGATTGATGGTTTAACGTTTTAGTACGTCAAGCTAGAAATCAAAGTGGGTTTTGGCTAAGATAGGGTTGTTTACTGCTATGATATCTTTAAACTTTGTAAGATAACAGGACATTTAAAATTAGGATTCTTTGCAGCATATGTTAGCTTTTAGGTCATCTTGGGTTTTGTGTAACTTCTAGAAACTCTTATATCTACTGGTAAAACCAGATCATCCTCTACCTTCCATTTGGCCTGGTGTAAGAACATTTCTGTTGACATGCTTCCTTTCCTCAGGGCAGTTAAAATATCTTGTATCAGGGTTGTGCTAATATGTCTCGTATATTATGTCATTTCTATTTGAAAATCACATTCCTCTCCAAAATAGTAACTTCGTTAGTAAAACAAAGGAATTGCTTAAATATTCTGACAAGGCCTGGCTGCATTCCAAGCCTTCTAACAGGTCTCACTTTTTGGAAAGAATTTTCAAGGCTCTGAAGCCACTAAGCATTATTTCAGCAGTACCACTTCTTTTACATGTTTTTAACTTTCTTATGTGCAGAGGCTTGTGACTAGAAACTCTCCCACTTCCCTGAAACTAGGGAGGGGAATAGTGCGAATTCACTCAAGTATCATCGAGTAAGACTGAAAGGGAATTAAACAGTTTTGAGCTGTCCTGTGACTTCCTTCTGTGACTACCACACACAGCTCTTTTACTGCAGCTGGTCAGTGTCTGTTTGCAAAATACAGCCCTGACAAACTTCAGAATGCTTCAAGTGAGAGGAACAAGGAAAAGAGTATTGAGGCTGTTATCTGTAGTCATTTTTCCCCGGCTCATTAGGCAGTTCCCACAGACAGTGTCCAACTCTTTACCTCCTAATGTTCCCTTTGTCTTTGTGTAAGCATCAAAAGCAAAAGGTAACCCCTGAAGATTTACGTTTCCTCCTCGGTAAAATTTATTCAGGTCATCGTAATGATTCAGACTCTGGTGTTTGCACGTGGAAGGATGACCTTTAAAACCTCTATTAGGCAGTTACTTTCCTCTCCTCAATAAGATGCCTGCATCGTGATTTCGCTAGGTGTTGAACTGCTATAATGAAGTTAGCAAAAAAGGCACAAAAACATCTATGCAGGGCTGAAGAAAAATGTGAAAGACTTCTTGCTCTATCACCACACCTTTGACAATGTTAGCTACTGAAAGCAAGGAGTATATGCTTTTGTCCTTGTGTGCTTAACTTTACCCACAAGCTGTAAGAGTATTACAGTTTCTCTCTAGAAGATAGTTGGAGCTATAGCCTGCTGCATTTATTAAAAATAGAGTGAGATTTTAGTCTAGAGTGTTTAATAAGCTACATCTTAATTCAGCAAATAAGGGGAACTGAGAGGCTTGTTTCTGTGCAGCAGTTGCCTTCTGTTTTAGGGTCACTAAAAATTATTATATTTACTATGCCTTTGTCCTGAAAATAATAGTTAAAGATATTTGATTCTGTGAGGTACTCAAGTGCAGTGAAGTCAATCTTCTTGACCTTCAAACCTCAGCAATACTATGAACAGTGTGCTTGAGGATCATTTACAATGCAGATAAGCTGTGTGTTTGCTTAGGTTTCACATTACTTTCACATGTGCAGTAAAACATTTTCCCTCTTCTTCAAGCTGTTCTATTTTAACTTGAAGTGAAGTCATGATCCTGAGTTTGCCATCAGTCTGGTGCTATTGAAATGGCTGCCTGGTTCAGCATGAACTGCATTTGGGATATAAGATTAAGAAAGGAGAAAATTGGATGTGTGAGAATCTTCTGCAGATTACTTTTCGATAACTAGAAAAAAGCTTTAGGTGATGTCAAAACAACTGCACATTTTATATGGGTTCGTTTTTGTTTTGCCATGTTCTCAGCTGATTTGAAGTCTTCTTCATCTACTACTTGAAATCTTTTACTGTTTTATGGGATACTAGACTAAGTAGTGAGTAACTCGAGGAATAGTATGAGTAGATTGCCTCTTGGCCTTTTAATTTTTTTTTATTTCTTTATTCCAATATCGTTTTTAGGATCACAGCTTTTTCCTCTGCAGTACAAACTGTGGAACTTCGATACCCGGTATGTCTAAGGGAAGTAAAGACAGGATGTATAGCTACAAAACCCTTCCCCTCTGTTCTTTCCTTTTTCACATGCTAGTTTTCCTTCCATGATTGCCTGGAGAAAGTTGTTCTGTATAATTTATTAGGCAAAGGAGTCTGTATCTTGTAAAACTGTGCTTTCCAGGGGCAGATCTCCTGGAGCAGTTGCTTGTCCCTCTCAGCCTTGCTGGGACCGTGAGTGGATGCCAGTATGTCTATTAAAATCCAAATTGTTTTCAGTCCCTCAGTGCTTGTACTCTTGTGGAAGGTACCCACTGTCTCCTGTCCTCCATCCTTCAATGGGAAAGGAGAGAGAAAATACTACACAGTTCCACTCTGAAATTTGCCTGAACTTTATTGATGTTAGAAAAGTTCAGCTTTGTTGGGGAAAACAGGTTGTCGGGCTGATAGAAGACACGCATGAAGTTCTCTGCTAGTGGGAAACTGACACATACTGATCCACAGATTTTTGGAGTACCCTTCAAGGGCTCAAGCAGGTTAGCTACTGTCTGTCTGGAGGTTTTTGGCTTGTGTTTTTTAAATTGTCCCAGCTACATAGCACAGTATGAAACAATTTTTAAAGTATCTTTGTTTCCAACTTTGTCCATATTAAGCAAGGAAATGGGCAGGTATATTTTTAAAAATCCAGAAATTGAAATAGCAGATTTTAGCTTCCAAAGTAAATATATATTTTCAGCACCGCTTTGGGAAAATTGTGTCCCTCATGTCCACAGAAATCATACTAGCAGGAACTCTGGTGTGTGTAGTTACACCAGCATTAACATTTTTTGTCAGGATGATTTATACTGAGGGGGAGGAAGGCAGGGAAACTAGCATGAAGTAAGCTGATCTAGACAATCTAGCTGATCTAGGGAGCTAGCCTAGCAGATCTAGGAAATCTGCAGATATTTATGCTGGCAAAATGTGTAGACACAGCTTCTACCTCTTGAACTTCAGCTTTTTAACTAGATTGCTTTACCCTTAGGATAAGATTGAGTACACAGATTTTGATTGCTTGAAAGTTAGAGGGCCATTATTTTAGATAGTATTTTTGGCTGATTTGGAGGCACTCTTGAGGTTGGGAGTATAGCACGTATACATCTCAAATGAATTGCCTGATACAACTGTCTCCCAGTGCAACCCGTATAGTACGAAGCTTTCCGGAACTAAGAAGTGGTAGTTAGGAAGGAAAACAGATACTGGATGTTTCATATATCTTGTGCTTTTTGGTCACTGGGTTGGTAAAACTTGTACCACTGTGTTGGTAAAACCCTAAAAACTTCCTAAAGTTCAAAATAAACCTCTTGTCATGAAAATTACCAGGAAAAAAAAATTACTTTTCTGTTAGCCAGACAGGATGATTCTAAATATGTTTATCTACTCTTAAATAATGCTGAAATAGTAATTCAGGTTATTGAATCCCTTAGTATTGTTAATTTTGTGAAGAGATGTAAAGGTGTATATGAGTCTAATAGTAACAAAATAAGTTCTCAAAATAGTCACTGAAGATCAAATTATTATCTTAGAATCTTTCTGTTACCAAAATTATATTATTATTATTTGAGAAATTTTTTGTTACCAAATATTGTCTTCCCTCAGTTACTCAACTTTCATTCTTCATTTTTCTGATAACTTCCCGACCATTAAGTTCACGTGTACTTGTATACATGCACACACAGAATTGTTGAGGTTGGAAAGGACCTCTGGAAATCAACTAGTCCAACTCTGCTCAAAACAGGGTCACCTA